GAGAGACAGTATCTTACTCCTGTTCAGGCTGGTATCAAACTCCTAACCTCAAGGAATCACACACACCCCACCCTCTCACACCTGCCTTGGCCTCCTAGAGTGCTAGGATTACAGGCAGGAGCCATTGCCCCACCTGGCTTCTTCACATTTTTTATTCAAATGTAAGGTTAGTGAAGCCTTCCTTGACCACCCTATTTAATTCTGAAATCCTATTTTTTTTTTCCATCACTCCCAAATCAAGAGCTTGGGACTCTTGATTTCCCTCCTGTTTTTCGTTTCTTTTCTGTAGTACTTATCACCTACCATACTGATACTAGGTAATTTATTTACTATATTTACTGCATATCATCTGACTCGCCCTGCTAGAATGTAAACTCTATAAGGGCAATGATCTTTGTTCACTGATACATCTTAAGTGCCTACAGTAGTACCTAGCACAATTAAATACTTAGTAAATATTTGTTGATTTAAAGAATGAATCTTTCTAAGGATACCCTAATCACATGGTTGAATAATAAAAAAAGGAATAATATAAATTAAATATAAAAAATATTTTGTAAATAAAAAATTTAAAAAAAAAAAGAATGAATCTTTTTCAGCAGTGGATCTTGCAGGCCACAGAATCTGCTGAGCCTGGCTTTTGCCTAAAGAATGGAATTTCCTTGGGGCATTTCCACAAAGGTAGGAATGGTGTCATATTGTCTTTATTTCCCTAGGACCTAGGATCATGCCAGACCTAGTAAGGGTTCAATCAGTGACAAATGAGTAAGACCTGCCAGTACTGCTTTCTTCGGCTTCATCCTAGGGGACTCATACCTGTAATCCCAACATTTGGGGAGGTTGAGGTGGGACAATTGCTTCAAGGCAGGAGTTTCAGACCAGCCTGGGTAACATAGCCTGACCCCATCTCTACAAATAAAAAATTAGCTGGGTGTGATGTTGTGCACCTGTAGTCTCAGCTACTCAGGAGGCTAAAGTGGGAGGATCCCTTGAGCTCAGGAGTTAGAAGTTACAGTGAGCTATGATTGGGCCCTGCACTCTGGCCTGGGCAACAGAACGACACCCTGTCTCTAGGGAAAAAAAGGAATACTTATTGAACATTTAAATGTCGAGTATTATACGAGGCACTGGGAATATAAAAAGCCAAAGACCCAACCCTCAAGGTAACTGAAAATCTAGTGGAGGGAGAAAGACAAATAAGCAGTAAATCACAACATATAGAAATAAACTGTGCTATTATGGAAGTAAACTGATAAACTCAAGACATAAAAAAGAATATAAGGAGGAGGGCTGGGAAAGGGATTGAGGAAGGCATGTCAGAAAACATTCCAACTGACAGCTCATGAATAGGAGGGAGAGAACTGCATGTGCTATGATCCAAAAGTGTACTCAAGGCCGGGCGCGGTGGCTCACGCCTGTAATCCTAGCACTCTGGGAGGCCGAGGTGGGCGGATTGCTCGAGGTCAGGAGTTCGAAACCAGCCTGAGCAAGAGCGAGACCCTGTCTCTACTATAAATAGAAAGAAATTAATTGGCCAACTAATATATATAGAAAAAACTAGCCGGGCATGGTGGTGCATGCCTGTAGTCCCAGCTACTTGGGAGGCTGAGGCAGCAGGATTGCTTGAGCTCAGGAGTGTGAGGTTGCTGTGAGCTAGGCTGATGCCACGGCACTCACTCTAGCCTGGGCAACA